GGAGGACCTATGTGGCATAGGTTAGAAAGGGGTCCTCAAGATATTCTGAAAAGTGCTCAAAATACTGTCTTGGTCTTGGCCTTGGCCTTGGCCTTCTAAACTACCTTTCACTCTGCCAAGAATGTGTTGGCAAAGTGAATTCATTTCTGCTTGTTAAATACACCGTAGTACCTGAGAAGTGTTTAATCTCATCTAACTAGCTGTTCAAAATTCAATGTCTAGAATAAACTATGAAGGCTTTTTTTGAGATAATGAGAGAGAAAAGCACTTTTGGAAGTTGACAGACCTCAATTTAAGACATCTGCCTAAGAGACTCTTATCACTCCTCATTATAATGTTCATAATGGAACATTACAGATGACTTARACTAGACACCTAGTTTAGGGATGGCTGATGTTGGGTGAGAATAATCACTCTCTGAATGAGGCGTACCTTTTAAAGAACATCTGGTGGAACAGCTTTCTTCTTGGTTTCAATTATGTGGATGATTTCTCCTGTTAACAACCAGATAGTGTMCCTGTGGTCAAGTATGAAAGCTAGTGTTATGAAAATGCAGAATATATTTTGACATCTTTGAGTACAGTTTAGCAAGATTAAAAAACAAGGAGAGACAGCAAAAAACGAGAGTCAATGGATATGATAAGCAAATGTTCTCAGCAACAGCAGTAATTCCAGGACAATAGTATGAAAAGTACTGTTTTGGACACAACCTCAGAGAAACTTTCAGTCTCTCCATTGCTAAAAGCAACTCCCGCTCTGTCAGTTTTATCAGTTTATTCCATCACTTTAGTTCTTGAACACTGCTGCAAAGAGCTCCATTTTGCCGGTTTAATTTCATACAGTGCATAGTGCACAAAATATATATTATAAAACTTACAGCACACAAACACTGCTTTTCAGAATAATCAGAAGGGCATTGAGGCAGAAGATGCACGCTGCAATAATTCATGCCTACATAATGTATATAAAACGCTACAGCGGAGATGATTGCATGCCACTGGGGCCATATAATAGGCAACTACCATGCCGACAGGAGCAGAAGGACTTCTGTTGCAGCAACTCTCATGTCAGGATTGTTTTCCTGGGGTTGCCATTTAGAATATTTGTTTTTTGGCTATGGGAAAATCTTCAGTTTGAAGGCAAAAATATTTCCATAGCATTATCAAGGGTTACTCTCTTATTGACTTTGGAGCTGAAAAATCTGATAAAATATGGATAAAATATATATAAAAAGAAGACAAATTCTTTGGGTTGGTTGCATTTGCAATCTCATTACATTTCAGTCACCTTTGTGACTTGAGAACCATGTATATTTTTTTTCCGGAATACTTCAGGTTTACAGTGTTGGTATTAAGGCTTGTATTTTTTTCAGGATCTTGGCTTATACTGGTTTGRTAAATCCTGCTAGCCTTCATGCTAGAGGTCCATATAGCAAATATTAAGGTAAGCAAGTAAGTCATTATTGTCCATCTGGATAAACTGTCCATCTGGATAAATCTATGCCAAGAGGCATAAATTTTWGTTAAAAGAAAAACAATGTAATATGCCAAAACCTGATATTAAGCAAAGAAAGACAGCACATTCTTTCACATTAATTATTGTCTATTTGAGAATTTGAGAGCAACAGTATATTCCTAGTTAGACCAAAACAGAAGAAAGAATCATCTGAAGTCTAGCACAAAGTCTCTTCCCAAGGCAAGCTGCAGTTTCTACAAAGAGTGGCTTAGGAAAGCACACCATTCAAATGGTTAAGAAATGTACTTGTTTAATGTATATCCTTTTATTTACATTCTCAAAAAGAAAGACCACTGTTATGAGCCTCATGTGTGTAAGTTAACTCCCCTTAAACTATGAGTTAATTTTCACTTAAGTAGGATAGACAAAGTAACTGCAACATGTTTTTAAATCCTTGCATAAAAAAAAAAAAAAAACAGATGAAAAAAAAAAAAAAAAAAAAAAAAAAAAAAAAAAAAAAAAAAAAAAAAAAAAAAAAAAAAAAAAAAAAAAAGAGTTGCTTATCCCATTATTTCAAACTCAGTTTAATTATCTGGGCAAATAGATATTTTGCTGGCATGTAAACCGCATTCTCTGAGATACAAGGCTATGGTCTGGGTAAATATTATCTCACTGCTCTCCATTATCTCACTTCCCCCAGCTTCAGATATCTCAGAAAGCTGTAGGGAGTTTTGCTGGCTAATTAAGAACACACAAACAAGGAGTTAATATAGTTCTGATTTTTTTTTAACTTATGATCTTCAAGATGTATAAAAAAGCAGATGTCAGCTTCTTAAGTTGAATAGAAATAAAAAATAACTATATAAAATATATATAGATAAAACTATATTTTACCTATTAAAATGATGGCGAATAAGTAAAAAKAATTTTATTTTTATCCTTTTAGAAAATCTGCTTGAGGTATTCCTTTTCAGTATATATTATAGAACACATTAAAAAATTGGCAGCTCTTACTGAATGCAGAATATTCTTCCTGATATTCCTTCATAACAATACCCAATACTTCTGTATTATATAATCCAAATTTTCAGTATTTTTTCCTTTTTTTTTTAATCTGTACTTGCACCTTGCTAACAGAATTAATCAATTAATTATAGCAGTAGATTTTTGAAGCAGAAGCAAGTATTTCTCTGAATTAAGATGGTATGGGTCTTTAGAGATAAACATCACTGTAAAACAGTGGGTAAAATCTGAAAGAATATTTCCTGGCTTGAGATAACAGRGCTCCCTTTTTAGTTCAAGCATTAAGCACGAACCCAGGGGGCACAGGAATGTGAATTTTTGTTTCATCACCTACTTCTCTGCCAATGAAGTTGTTAAGTGGGATGAATATCTGCTTACTTTGGAGATATTAGCTGATCATGTTTCTATTAAAAATATTACAATCAGGGAAGGTGTCATTTGAACAGACACTAGAGAAGATGCAACTGAATACTAAACGCTACTCAAGATAGTCTAGTGCTAAGAAGGCTCCCTTTATCCTCACTTTTACAACACTTGCTTTCCACTATTATTTTTGGAAACTGCTATGCAAATATCCTGTTACTGATGACTATCCTAGCTAATCATCACGTGAATCCAAATAAGCCCCTAAAATTCAATAGCATCCTTTTTTAAGATAGAGTAGCAGGTTATCTTTCCAATGAATCCAGCAGTGTAGCAAAAACATAGTGCTCCTGTTCAAGGAAGGCACCAAGTCTAAAAGTGATTTCACAGAAGACAATCAGCAGCATAGCAGCTATATTGGAATATTTTCCTTGGAAATTATCTACTGTATTTTATAGAATAAGGATAAAAGGAAAATCTATAAGGTACTCAGCCTCTACAGCTAACTTCACATTTGGCTACCTCAAGTCACTAGATTACATACCATAACTGTGCCAACAAACTAAACAACCACCCCTTCCCTTTGCTTTTTTTGTGCTCAAGTGAGTGACAAAGCGACAAATTCCTGCTTCAAATGTGACTAGAGGTAAATGTTACTCACTCAAACCTCTGTTAAGAGTGTTACTACTGCTGACTATACCCTCAAAATGTGTGACCTTCCCTCCAACCTTTTGGGAATCTCTAGCAAACTTTCTAATTATCTTTTTCAGCTCTTCTCTCAAGCCTTCAAGGAAGCCCATGACTCAGCCTTCATGGCTCAAGCTGCTATTTCCTAGGAGCAGTAGGAGACGAGCAATACAATACCCAACTCCAAGCAAGTCAGTGCTATAAGCCAAATCTCTCTTGACCAGGTTTCTCTTACTTCTTCCTGCTGAAGCTAAAATAGCAGTGAAGAGTGATATGAAGAAATGTCATTGGCTTCTTTGCTAACTTCACTATACCCAGGTCAAAGTTCAGTGCAAAAGTCTGTGGAAGATACTGGTCTTTGATGATATAAACCAACAGTTACATCCTAAAGGCATATATCCTTAAGACCAGTGCAACACAGAGTATCTTGTACAATGATGAGTTTTCTACAGGAGGGATGATTTCAAATTGAAAAGCATGTTTCTGTGCTATATGATCCATCGTTTCCATAGGAAAGAAAACTCCACATTCTGCCATGGTTATAAATATAWTCAATTTAAAAGTGTAGAAAGTCAATCTGTTTGTTAAAAGTGGCAGCCATAAAACTTTTCTCTGCATCAGCATTCTTTCATCTTGCCTTGAGCAACACAACATTTTTTTTCTCCGAAAGGTTATGAAGTCTTTTTTGAAAGGTCACTGGATCAGTAGATATATACAAACATGCACACCCTTTCCTTCTGCCTTCAAGTTCTCCTCACCATGAAAATGATACAAAATGCTTCACTGGACACACACACACACACACACACACACACACACACAAAAAAAATGCAATTTTGGTTGGAACTGGATAGAAAACACAGGAATTACAGAACTGATTGTGCCAGCTGGAATGTATACAGACAACAGGTGTGCCAGAAGAGCAACCCAACTAAAAGAAGACACCTGGCTAAAGCCAGATTTGTGGATGATGCTCCTACAATAACAGAAGAAAACGTTACATGTCTTTGATGTTCTTTAAAGTGCTCCACTTATAATTCTTTGGCCTTTGCTTTTTTTGTGATGTCTGTCTGCATTAAATACATCTCTCATCTCTTTCTGCCATCTAWTTTCCTCTGCTGCTTATTTATTATATCACTGACCTCTTTTTTCTTTGTTTTCTGTGTATATTCCTTGCATATTTTTACCAAGATATTTCATCAAAGTGGTTCTGTCACCTCCCTTCTAAGGCATTTACAGCATTTGAACTTATCATTGACTTGATATTAACTTAAGTCACACAGCATCAAAATCAAGCTTTAAAAGAAAACCATGCAGTGTTTTGGGGTTTTTGTTTTCATTTTTGTTTTTGTTTTGATAGAGAGAATTTGTAAAGTTTGTAATGGAAAAATATATTTTTACTTATATTTAAAATACTATATATGTGTGTCTTAAATTCAAGGGAGAACAGAATGAAGCTAAAAGTTCGTTCCTGGAAGCCCCAAGACACATGAATTAATGGATCCTACTAAACTTGGATTGTTTACCGTAAGTAAAAGGACTATTTTTTAAACTTCTTATGAATTTCATGGACTTCATAAAGCAAGTCTGTTTAAGTGGCAATAGTTTCTTATAGTGAAGTACCAAATAATGAACCTAAGAGTCAGCATTTTTGGCTTATTCACCAACGTGAAGCAATCTATTTGGTTTCTGAAAGCCAAAACTTAACTGGGTCCTAAGGGGCACTATGCCTAGAAAGAACCTGTAGAGCCAGTCAATCATGACAAAGGAAAACACAGAACTAGTTCAAAAGGTTGAACTTGTTTTCCAAATTCTGTATTTGTGTTTGCTATGAAAAAGTCAAAACCTCTCTGTAGTTCTTCGTTTGCGTTCAATACRCTGAAATCAGGAAGATGACAGTTGCTAAAGTCAGAATAAAACAGAAGAGTGTTTCCTACAGCTTTCTTTTTTTTTCCATCTAGTAATAAACACAATTTGGTTTAAGAATTTTAAGTTTTAAATTGGTTTAAATCCCACTCATTTCAGCCTTCTTAAAATACAACTCAGTCTGTTCAGCCCCTCAAAGAATGATGAAATATAACTGTTCCCTTCTATTTTCAATCCTTAGAAATTCAGACACATGGGGTTCAAAGCCAAATCCCTAGTGATTTTCAATTTAGCTTCCCTTTATAAGTCAAAATACTTCATATATCCATTTTCTTAAACAGAACATATTTTTATATTGATTTTCAGTTTTTGTTTTCATCATTATTTCAGAAACAAGAAGCACTGGTGCCACAACAGATCTGTGATAAACATTAGAACAAAAAATAGAACTTTGTATTTCTTTGACAGATCTTGTAAAGCTGTTCCCAAAAGAGAGCTCTTTTAGTCTCACTCTAGGGACAAGGAAACTGAGATCTATGAAAAYTGAAAACAATAGCATGTACAACTGGGTTCCCTTATGTGAACTGCAGTAGCTTGACTCATGTCAATAATAAAATCAAACACTGATTTCATTTTAAGGAAGAGCTTGATGTGTGGGCTGCTGACTATCTGTTTCCAATGCTGACTGTGTGTAACCGCCTGTTCATGGAGTTGCTGTTTCTGAGGTAGGTCCATGGCAGTGTGTGATATTCAAGCTCCCAAAATTGGGAGCCTTCTCTTTCCTTATGAGTTATTTTCATTTAAAATTCAAGTGTTTTGTTGTTATTGTTTGTCACTTAGTCTCATAAAATACCTCCTTTATCACTTTTCTTTCCTTCTGTATTCACTTCTAATTCTATTCTTATAATTTTAATATGATTTTTTTCTTTATTGAAGAACTGCTAGTGCAGTTTTTTGATGTACTGGATCAAATGGACTGGATGGTCAAACTCATCTTCATCACTTCGTTTTTACTTTAAGGCACAAATCACATCTTCACCTGCATYTATATTCAGAACTGAAGCCAAAAGGTTACAGAATTAGTCTAGGTTTTTGACAGCTATCAGAACTGCAATCAGAAATGAAAATATAAAAATAATGTTCTTATTTATTCAGGAAGAACACTGAACAGAAATTCTCTAATTTATATAYATACGTATATATTTTACTCAGAAAGAAGAAATCCTATATAGGGCACGACACTGCTAAATGCAGTTCCACACCTTGCATACTGGAGCTTCAAATACAGGCATTTTCCCCATAAGAGCAGAACTAAATAATATAATCCTTCTAAATAACATGCTCATGCCTAGTGGCAAGATGGCTTGGTTCTATTCTCTGTTCTGTTTCCAACCGTATCTTGATTTCTCCATGTATGAAATGAAATTCTTTTCAGTTCCCTTTAAGATCTAAGAAAGGAGGCATGTAGATGTCAAGTACTGTATTTAAATGCACATATATCTTCTTGATAACATAGCTATGTTTCAAAGAACACTTGCTTGGAATTACCCACTGATACCCGCTTCAGAGCAACAAAGGTGATTAAGGGAGTGGAACATCTATTGTATGAGGAAAGACTAAGCGAGCTGGGCCTGTTTAACCTACGGAATAGAAGGCTGAGAGGAGATCTGGTCAATCTGTATGAGTACCTAAGGGGAGAATGTAAAGAGGATGGGGCCAAACTCTTCCTGGTGGTGGCCAGTGATAGGATAAGGGGCAATGGATACAAGTTGAAACACAAGAAGTTCCATCTTCATGTSAGGAAACCTTCTTCCCTGTGAGGATAACAGAGCCTTGGAACAGGCTGCCCAGGGCGGTTGTGGAGTCTCCTTCTCTGGAGATCTTCAAAATCCACCTGGATACGACCCTGTGCCCTGTGCTCTAGGTATCCCTGCTGGAGCAGGGGTTTTGGATTAGATGATCTCTAGAGGTGCCTTTCAACCCCAGCCGTTCAGTGATTCAGTGATTTGGTGATACAGAAAAAGAATACGGATAAGGTAAATAAGAACCTCATTTTATTTCATGTGTCCTGTGATGCGGTGGAGACAGTGAAGTAAAATAGAGACTATTGTTTCTCTGCTGGTGTGAGGGCTACAACAGTAAATATTTTCTGAGAGTTTATAAAGTTTTCAAAACAAAAGGCTTGTGGAACAAATCTGTGTAAATCATATGTAGAGATATCTACAACATATCAGCAGGCAAAGTTCCTTAAATATCTATAGCTTATAGCATGTTGTCAATGCCCACAGTTCTCCATTTCTCCCTGACCTGAAAATTTTCCATYGTTTTGTACACAAAAATACTAGGAAGCAGCCAGGAGAGTTTTTTGTTTCTTTTGGATGGAATTACTTACTTTATAAAATCTAATATGCCTGAGAGCTTGCCTTTTTTTTTTCCCAACTTAACTAGTCAGTCTAATAAAACCTATTGCCTTTACCTTATCTTTCCTACCTCTGTAAACGATTACAGCCATGACATTTTCACTTTCATATTCTCTTCGAGTACAGGATGACCCTTAAAGGCCACTGAACTTTGCCTTTCCCCATGACTATTTATCTGCGCCCAGCTAGYAAGGCAGCTCATCTCAGGATAAAACCCATGCAGGATTTTCTGTAGCTAGGACTGGAGGCCACACTGTGTTTAAACATTATGCAGCAGATCTTAAAGCAGATCTTAAGCAGATCTTAAACAGATCTTAAAACATTACACAGCAAGACTGATATCATCTTGCTGCTTTCTCCTCAGAGCTCACCTCAGAGAGGTAAATTAAATAGCGAAATAAGTAAGATTTTTGCATATGTTCAGGAATTTGGCCAAGCAAGAACAACTTCCTTGTCTTATTCTCAGTCTTGAGTAGTCCCTGTAGCACACAGGAGCATATTGACCACCACATGCTACAAAAATTATTACAACATACTGCTAGCCTTACACAGCTAGCATCAATTCCAGCATGCTAGTATTAATGACATTTTCAGGCAACAGTGAAACCTAGCTGAAACAGAAACAACTGAAACAACTGAAACAACTGAAACAACTGAAACAACCTCCTTGTTGTGTAGGGAATATTTTTGCAACTAACTCTCATTTAAAATTCTTCAGTGCTGGCCTTCCTACCTCACATCTATGAGCTGACAAAGCTACAAATGAAGCCTCCAAGAACAACAACAACAAAAAAATCAAGTTAAAAGAATGATGAATTGGAATTTCTCAGATGTTTATAGGACAAACACAGCAAGGAGAAACTCTTCTGAGATATTTGAAGGGATCAGCAAAGAACACCACATTTTCTTACTCCATCTAAAATTCAGCTTGTCTTTCCTGTCTCTCTCATTTTGCTTTGCGTGTTTGACCCCACTGCTGACAGAGAGCTTCATGGTATTATTTTGTTACGTGCAGACTTAAATAGTTCTTCTAGTCTCTTTAACAGAACAATAATAATGCAGATCTCAAGTTTTGGGATGCAGAGGGCTAAACAAATTTTTCAAGGAGCTAAGCATAATTCCTTACCATTTGTTATATCCCCTTCTCTTCTCTTTCCAAGTTTCTCTCTTCCTTTTAGCATTTCAGTCATCACATGGTGAATCTGTCCCATTTCTTTATGCAAGCAGATTTGGGTAACTTGATATGGCTATTTGCATACACCAGGGCAACCACAATTGCGAATGCAGACTCACATGTACAGCTAGAAATGGTTATATAGAAAGTGGTACAATAGAAAGGTTTGATAGATAACCCACAGTCAAATTTACCTGCTGAAACCTAATTTAGATGTCTAAATCTGAATTAGAATGATGTTAAACCCACCATTGTCTCACAGAAAGTGAATCGACAGAGGCAATTCATCATTTTCTGAGCTAGCTATCTAAAATACCAATCTAAAAATAAATCAGCATTTGAAGATATTTGTTGTTTGACTATAAAGAAAATCTATGATGACTAGATTTGGCACGCTCTTRATGCACTCTTTAGGTAGATGAACCTTTTCCTACCTGAATAGGAACTCTCATACCATCAAGATTTTCAAGTCAAACAAAATACAAAAATATAATACTTAAATAGCTTTTACATAGCAGTGTGTTTTTGCAGCATACCTTCCATGTTGCATTAGTTTTGCATGCTATGAATTCTTGTAATCCCCCCAAAAAACGTTAAGCCAGCTTAACTATTCTGTGAATAAAGGAGGTGAGCCCAGAGAGGAGTAAAGCAGCCACAGAATCCGAAAATGAATATAGCATTCCAGCAGTGCTAAAGGCACTATAAAATATGACTATACCTAGCACTAATATACAGCAACATGTACATTTCTTCATTATTTAATGCAGCCACAGATCCTCCTACCTTTATTCTTGCCCTAGAACCCCATTTTAGATCATGTCTGTATTTGCCCTTGGCACAGGACCAAATTTTTTGAAATTTATCTTAAACAGACCAGTTCCTCTGAGCATATAAGCTGGTTATAACACCATGCAACCTGGAGAGCTATCATATTGCACAGCATCACTGAAAGAACTCCCTCTATCAGTTTTTGCAGAATCAGTATTGCTTTTCTTTTTTCCACAGAGAGCCAGTGTTCCCATGTTTAGTTAATGAAATTTAGTTCAGACATCTATTTTTAATGGGCCCAATGTTATGATCCATGCTGTCAACCTAATACATGCATGCAATAGTTCCACTAACATGACTGGAATTTTGGGGGAGTGAGAGAGCTTATTATTGTACAATCAGGCATCTGCATATGCCCTGTCACTTGAAAATAGTCACTTGCCTTACTCATACAGTTCTATCTTCTATTTTAACAATGATCTGTTTCTGAACCAGACCTTATCTTTCCAATCAGAAAAATGTGAAATCTACTTTCACCATACTCACTAAGTAATATCTATCTTATTTAGGAGTATTTTTTCACCATAAGAACACCTAAGCATTAGAACAGATTTTCCAAAGAGTTTGTGCACTCTTCGTTCTTAGAGGTTTTCAAGATCATACTGCAAAAAGTCCTGAACAACCCTGTCTGACTTCACAGCTGACCATGCTTTGAGAAAGAGACTAGGCTGGATGATGTCCTAGGGTCTCTTCCAATCTGAATTACCTTATTAAAAACACTGAATTAGGGCTCAAATACAAAAGTGCCATATACGTGCTCTTCAGATGTGCCTTACCACCTAGCTCATTCAAGAGTACCTGAACTGGTGCTTCAGGAAATAACAGCTGCTGTTTTGTATCCCATTCTTTGGAGCCTACTTTAAGGCCTACTTATTGCAACAGTGAAGGGACTATGCTTGGAAGGAGAATCTCCATCTATCCCACCCACCCTTGTGATAAAGGTCCTATGATCATCAGCAACTAGATAATGTAGAGAAATTTTGAGGTCATCATGAATAGAGAGTGAAGGGGAGAAACTGGTAGAAAAACATCAGAAGGACCAAATACAAAGAAAAGATTTTTGAGAATGGTGCATACTGATGGCAATGATATTAGCAGATCTCTGTGATCTCCAAGAGACTAGATACTCARAACAAGTGAGTAAATCCTCAGATGATCACTCTCAGAGCTGGAACAGAACACAAAAACTGAACACTATCAACTCCCAGAGTGTGAAAAAGCATACACAAACCCAAGTGCATAGCTGCACTAAAAGAAACTCAGGAGACATGAGAGAGACTTGATAATTGGCATTGCTTGTCCAAGTCATTGAAGGGAGTCCTGGACAGAGATCCTGCATACAAGCATCCTAGTGCTTATGAGCAGTATGCAGGTAAAAGAGTGTGAATGTGAATAAAATCAAGTTTGTTTAATAAAATCATCTCCTCTTATAAAGTCTGGCATTATGATTTGCTACATTGCTGCCAAAAGCTGTAATTTCATTTCCTGCAATAAGAACAACTGGGGATCTCCAGGGTCACTGCAGCAGGTCAGGTAGTCTGAGTAAAAGGGGTCACCACCTCTAGAACTGCCARGCCAAGTTACAGCCATCAGGGAGACTTCCACAGAACCGAGACACACATTTTTGCTTTTTTTTTTTTTTTTYCCCYYCTCTTAGTGCCTGAAGGACATTATGAACCACACTTGGACACACTGTTCTTCCGTATAGAAGGAAAGAAAAAAACCTAAAATGTTTATTTATGCTCTTATTGCTTGCTGGCTTTAGGCACTGTTTCTACACTTTCATAATCGCCATCACACAATTCTCAGAACACTGTTGTATCTGACCATTTAAACTATGTTTTCTTTTCTTATTTTTAGTACAAAACTGCCTCTGGCTACAGGATTTTAAATTTCTCAGTACTGAATTGTACTTGTTGAGAAATTTGGTCTATCCAAGTAATTTTGAACTGTACTTTCTTCTTTTGTCAATGGCTACTAGACCTCTCTGGTTTTTAGTATCAGTAAATTTTATCTCTCCAGCACATCTTCTCTGGGTCATTGCTATACACAGTGAAAAGAACTGCTTTAGCAACCATCCTTAGTCATTCATTCCCTCTGCCCATTTATTTAAAACATTTTCTCAGTGTTCCAAATGAATAGGTCATCACTGTAATGTATTCACCAACCTTGGCAGTGCACTTCAAAAAGCATTTTTGCACCAACAATTTTAAATCAGGAAATAAGGTTCCATCTTCCATCCCTTGTGGAAACTGCTTAACTAACAGTCTGTGCAGTAGTACTTTTAAAATGCAGGTGTAAATTCACCTCATTTATCACCTCAAATTTGCATCTGCAAATTACAGCCATGACTTTCTTTCATCAACTTCTTGTTACCTCTTAAAAAAATACTGTCTATAAACTCCTTTTTCCAAAAACATACTGACTACACTTAATTAAATTACAACTTACAAGGAATTACCTTAGAGACAGGCACTGATTAGTGTTTCTAGTATACTCATATTGAAGAATTCTAGCTGTTACTTGAAATCACCTCAATTCTTTGTTTAAAGGCAGACAGCAAATACGCCTCTTTATTCCATCAGTTTCACCACCTGCCTCCAAACATACCTATAAAAAGCTATACATTTGTTGCAACTACTAAATTCTCAAAGAAATCCCTTCTGGGTGATAAAAACAAATACATCTGAAGTAAAGGACACAGTTTAGACAAACCTGCCCATCATTCAGTGCTTTCTGAAATCACCCGGGTTTCTGATGTTAACTCACTACAAAAGCAACTACTACTTCTGTTTTCTGTGATAGCTGCACATGCTCTAGGTATYCCTGCTTGAGCAGCAAACCCCTCCCTCTAGGGGAGGTTCTAGATGAGATCTAGATGATCTCCAAAGGTCCCTTCCAACCTCAGCCGCTCTGTGCTTCTGTGTGATTAATTTTAATGAGTTTATATTTCAGTTACTTTTGAAAAAACAACAGGATGGCAGTACAAGAATCCCACTCTAATTTTTAGAGTATGTCATGAGGTTCYTACTTCATCTTATAAGTAGTGTTGATCAAAGGCTTTCGTATTTGTATACTATCCAAATAGTCAGAAAATTATGCTTGGAAGCTTCAATTTGAGAGGTGACCATGTCATCTGATTTACAAACTAATTTGTGGATTTTGACAGGTGAAAAAAAACTCTCACTGGTGGTATAAATGTTGCTTTTTACTCCGACAACTTGTTAGGCAATACCACATGTGAAACAGCAGTTTCTTAAGCCAGAAGARAGAATAAGCACATCAAGTGGAACACAAGAAATACATTTTACTTATCTGAGAAATACTAATGGTGTTTCTTTAAACTGTAAGGCAAGGTGTAAGAAAAAAATCAAAAAAAAAGATACGATGTAATAAAAAAAAAAATCCCCGAAGCAGTCTGCATGTCCTGTCTCTTTTATTTTTCCCATCTCGCATTGCAATTACAGCTTCTTGGGCAGGGCTGCTGAGGGTTTTTCATTTTTATTTACCTTTAGCCCCAAGAACCACTTCCTGATAAACTTCAGACATTCCTGACTGCTGAACACTCTGCACCAGAATTTCTCATTATTTTTAATGGAAAGATCACCAAGGCTTTCGGGAGAGTGAAGGAGTTACATGGTCTGTCTACTTTGCAAATATTGTTTGAAGGTTGTGGAAAGAGGGAGGCAAGAAAACTTAATCTTGGTACTTAAAATACCTGGTACTGTGAGGGGCAAAATTCTTAAGA